GGGGGCTGAAAATGTTTAGTCACCCTTTCGTCCTATGCAATACACTTTATTGCCATAAATACAATCATTTCATGATTTTCTCCCTTTTTTAAATGACAATTTGAAGAATTAATACACAACATTTATAGAGAAAGACTCTTTGAACCATCTGGCAATCCAGTAAATGGTTCCACGCCAATTTTATGCATTGTATTAGTTATTTAATTCTCCGTGTATTATGTTTTATTTATTTACTTGTAAAATAAGTTAATGTTAAATAAAAAAAATTAGTGAAATAGGGGCCTAGATATATAGTTAGTCCCGCCTCTTGTTTTGAGGCTGAAATGGCCAGGCACACCTACGAATGTTATCAGTTATTTTGTCCTTTATACATGCTCAGAAACTGTAACTACTTAATAGATTTCAGTGAAATTTAATTTTCTGTCTTACCCAGACGAGTCGTCATAGGAAATACCATTTCCTGTAACTGTAACTGAACACAAAAAATTACTAACCTTGAGATGGATCAGGTAACTGGCGTTTTTTGATTTTAACTTCTGATACAGCAACAGTGTAGGCATAACTAAGTTTTATAAACCAAGCTGCACGAAGCATAGGCACTTGGTACTCACAAAGCATCATAAAAATTTCTTCCTTCTTGTTAAAATTAGGAGCCTTTGAATTACAAAACATGAAGTGTTAAAATTACAGAAAGGGAAAATAAGACAATATTAAAACATTTCAAATCTTATTATTAACCATACTATTAAAAGGTTAAATTCAATAAAATATTCACACAAAAAAAGTAAATAAATGGAATAAACATCAAAATGTACAGTTTGGGAATAAGATCTTCCTCTATTCATAAATTTTTCAAATACTTTTAAAAATAAAAGATGATAAACAATACTCCAAAATTTATAACACATTTTTTATAAACTAATAATTAAATAAGGGAACATGAACATTAGACAGAACTCTTCTATTTAAAACATCAACAGATATTTATGATTTCTTAAGTTCAAACAAAGAAAAGTTGGAAATTAGTAATTACTAAAATTCTATGAAGAATCACTATTATATACTTTGACAAACATAGTAAGATTACATTACAAGAAGAACAATAAAAACCATCAGTTCAAAAATATACTCTTATTATTAAATTTTTAAAAAAGGCATACAACTTACAGGGGATCCAACTTACGATGGACAAGCATTTTGAAAAATTTAGCTTTAAATCCCCTACTACCCTTTACTGCATCTGTTAATCTTACCCTTTTTGCTAAAACAATCAAAGGTTTACTTCCGGCAAGATCCTTAAACCAAGCCTCAATTGCATTCTTTGATCTTGCAGTGGCAGGCCAGAAATTGTCCTTTGTGTTGATTTGTTGGCGTTTCCTCCCAGTGTCAGGCAAAGTATTTAATTCCTCTTTTTTATTCAATATTCCATTAAAATACTGACCAACCTAGAAAACAATTAAACATTTTTAAAGAAATGATGCTGCAAGTAAACAATATTAATGATACAAACCGCTAACACCACTATATTTTATACATACATTTTGGACGATATTTGCAGGATGTCACTGACAGAAGGGATGATTTCCCACCCACCCTCCTCCCAATATTTTTTGGTTTACAAGTTACATGTGACAGCTCCCCTTTCTACTGAATCATACCCTCCCCACCTATAATTTGTTGCCTGTGACCCCCCAAATATACCTATGTATGTTCTCATTCATTAAATTACAACCAATATACAGTTAAGTTATGACAAATGAACACACATGCTTGATAAGTATACTCAAGTTACATATCCCAAAATATAAAAAATTGTTACTGTATCAATATTTATAAGGCTCTCACTCTTTCATTTCTCATATTATTAGAATGAACTATCATACAAAAATGTTTGTAAAGAATAAGCTGAAAATAAAATCTATCTTCTTTCTCTCTACATTTAAAAATATACAGTGATGATCAAATTTTGTAATTTAAAAGCAAAGCATATTCGCATGTCTAAAAATAATTATCTTCACCTCATTCCTATTTTTTCACATTAATTCACAATTTCTCATACTTCTCGTACTCAGTGTGTCAGAGCTTATGACACAGCTGACTTCGCACAAGAACCAAAAGGATAAACACAAAGAAGACAAGAACAAATATTCATATGAGCCCTTTTAGAACAGACTTTTTTTCTGCTCCAGGGTGCCATTTTACAAATACTTATTAGCAGCATTTTGCTGCAGCAGGCCAATAATTGTTACAAAAATTAATAATGTATTTATATTTCTCAGGTGATCAGGCCATTGGCTGCATTCTGCACATAACTGTAGAATATGAGCAATTGTCATAAAGAATAACTCTCAAGTGCTTAATGAAGGTGATTTTCTAGTCTCATGTTATATGAATGTATTATAGAGTAGACTAACTTTAAGGTGCCTCATAACAATTTATATTTATCCCCACCCCGTTAACATTAGTATGACACAAACATAGATACATGGATGAGCAGCCTGTTATTTATTGGTCATCTTTCAGTGCAGGGACTGGAACTTAATTCCCAGTCAAATTCAGGTAAATTTTGAGGGTAAACAGGTATTCTCATGGTTTGCCTTGACTCTCATTTCACTACTACTCTATTTCGTTAATCATAATCAATGTTAAATGTTTGAGACTAAATCTCAGAATCTACTGAAGTTAGGATAATGAAATTCTTAGAAGTTGCAGATATGTCATTCATAATAGCACTAAAATAACAGTTTTCAAAAAAGTTTTCCATAATTGTAGTTAAAGTTGAAAAACGGACAATTTAGAATCAAAAATTTCTACTTTTGGGAAATAGGCTTAAAAGATGCAACCTTCAGAACACGCCAGAGCAATAACTTGCCTAACCAGAAAAATAATTTTCCAATAACTACTTCCTTTCGAGTTCTTTTTGTGTTGGTTAGCTTCAAAACAAAGTTTTCAGTTTACTTTCTGCATGTCTAAGTCTTTCTTTATTTATGCTCTGCATTATGTAACAGTATCTAAAAGTATTGGAGCCAGCAAACTATGCCCAATAAAAGGAGGACTTCACATATAAATAATAAAAAATTCTGATACCAACATATTTTAAATGCCCATTTAAAGAGAAGATTATGGAGATTTATGAAAAATAAAATACCAAAAAACTATTTTATAATCGCAAATTCATTCCATTTCCTCATTACATTTGGTTCGTTTCAGGAACATGGATTAAAGCAACTAGCGAAGTGGAAGACATGGGGCGAAAGTTCCTCCTAGTTACACAACAATTCTGTAGGAAACAACTTTGTGGGATGATTTTGTTGCTTAAAAATGAATTTTGCATTACCAACACATTAAAGACAAAATAAATATTGCAAATACAATTCTTCCAAGTCTTTCAGATTCCTTGGAGAGGAAAACATGAAAAAAGCCCGTAGAAGAGTTTTGTGAAACATTGCATATAAATCTCTTCATCTCTTTAATCTTGAATGTTCATCATCCAGGGCCTTCTACCAATAAGAATATTCTGGCTAAGGCATTGCAGGGATTTAGATTAATTCTATAACTACGAATTCAATGACTATTTCCCATCTATAATATTTGCTATGGCAAATGGCAAAAAAAAGTGTTTATGTGAGATTTCTAGGGGCATTAAGCTTAGCTTGATTGCCAGTCTCCAATCACAGGATACTAGGTTATAATTCCATTTGAAATGATGATTACCCCATGGAATTTTGAATGCTGAGTCTTTGTGCAGTTCCAGCCCAAATGGTTGTGGCTGAAGAGGTTAAATTCCTTCAACTTAATTAAGGATTTTGTTCCAGGTGAGCTTTACATTTTTATTGTTACTTGTGTTCTCTGCCTTTGCTGAAATTCTGCCTATTGCTGAAATTCTGCTTCTAGGTACTAGTGGAGTACTAATATGGAAATATAAACCAGCAGGGAACAACGACATTGGAAGACCACAAAAGAAGTTGCAACAGCAGGTACACCTGGAAGACTAACTACCAGGAACATTGCATAACTAATGGAACAGGCTAAGCCAAAACACCTTTCAGTTCATTATGATGATGAAGAACTGGTGGAATAATCCAGATAACAAAGCTATGAAAGCAAGTGTTTTCCAACTTTTGTTCTGCAGAACCCTAGGGTTCCATGGAAGGTTTTCTTTAAAATAAAATAATAAAAATTTACAACACCTATTATTTATGATTTAATGTAAAATTTTGTTTTGAAAATAAATGAATGTGATTTTGAAATATTCTCTCTATTTTTCATTTTACTTACTGCAAAACAATTAAGCTATTATATTTGCTGAAATATATATGTTGTGGCTTTACAATGTATAATATTGTTAAAGGAATAGATTACGAATCAACAAAAGAAAAGTGATTTTCAATGGATTTCACTTCAAAAATAGTTTGGGAACCTCTGGGATGAGCTGCTATTCAAACAATTCTCAAGTAAGGTACTTGTATTATACGTTCACATTTCCTTGATCCCCAGAATATCTACCCCCACTCCTTTACTAACTTTCATTGAATTAAAAACAAATGTTCAAAAAACCCTAATAATCAGAAACATTCACTCCCCTGTAATAGAAACTATTTTGTATCAGAAAATACGCCTCAAATTTCATACAATCCTTTCAACAAAATAATCAACCTCCCCATTTCTCTTGCATCTAGTGAAATGAAGACTCAAGAAAGCGTGTGGGGATAATACCACTAATGCAAAAATAGAGATATAACTTCCTTAATATCCAAAAGGTCTTCAAATAGTTTGATGCTTGATATCCAATTTGAAAAATTAGACTGTATTACTGCACTTTCCAAATTCTTGTGAAAATCTCATAACATAAAAAAAATAGGTAGATTTTGGATAAATAGATTTATAATTAATTAAAAGCTATGAACTAAAACCTGACCCCTGGTTTTGCTTCTGGGTTTAAAAGTAGTTTCCCTATTGGTGCACATTTTCTTGAGCTCTGTGAGGTGTTGGAGGGGAATATAATAATTATTATTCAAATAATTGTTCTCCATATTCAGGTGACAGTACGTCAATTTTTCCATGTGGGGCATGATGAAGAATAAACGTCAAAATCTATAGCTCTTTTGCTGTTGAAAATAGTTTTTATTAGATGGGGGTATATATTATCTTATTATCAAATCTTACCCAACCCTTTGTTGCTACCTGCATTCATTATTCATATTAATATAATACAAGTGCTAGGGAAAAATTCCCCAGCCCAAGAAAATATCTACAGATTGTACTTCTCTCCTAAACTTCAGACAGTTTTTAACCATTACTTTACATTAAGTAAATAAAAAATAAATAAATAAAATACCCATTGTTTTGCAATTACATTCACCTAACCAAAAACATTAAAAAAGTATGTGACCATACACTGTAAAAAATTTAAAATGTACTACAGTAAAGTACATAGTTTCCATAACATCGCTTACCTTTGCAGGAGTAACATTGCAATTCTTTGCAGACCCAAATTCATCACTAAGCTGAGGCAATGTAAAACCATGTTTTACATTCACTGTTGTCAATTCATCCTGAGTTTAAAAATAAAATAAAATTGTAATATATATTTCAATTTCCAATGATTTATTAATTATTCACTTTTGGACTTACCTCTTTCTGCTTTGCTTCTTGGGGATATACATCAGGTGGACCCAAACGGGGCCTCTTAAGGGCCCGTTTTTCATAAGAGAAGCCCATCATTGTTGCAAACTACAAGTATCGGTCTCTGTAAAATGATTCTATGAAATTTTAAGTAGTAACAAAATATCTTGGAGAACATTTTGAATTTTTTTTCCACTGAACTTAAATCACAAGCACTTAAATCATCTTACAATCTTTTAATCAAAGTTCATAAAGAGACTTGTATCTGTTACATTTCTTAACTACTGAATATCACTCTAGTAAATTCATTATTAAGGTAGGCAAAGATCTTTTCTTCATATTTAGTGAGGTTAACTACAGTAGTAGTTACATATTAAAGAGCTATCCTTCTTAATTACTATTCAGATGTTCCTACATACAATAACTTCAGTAAAAATTTGTTAACTTACTCACTTCTAAACATCCTCTTCTCAACACATTTCACAATCAAGACAATATGCAATCAAACAAACATCTCTTCCCTTTTCTTGACGGATCTGGAGGATGCGGTTCAGGGATTCGCTAACCAGCACAGCAAGCGAAGCTACAGTAGGTCGGTAGAATTGTCACGTACTGCGTACAATGTTGGCTAACCTGACATCCAACGCATTAACAGCTGAGGGCATGGGAGCGTTATCTACAGCGGTTCGTGAGAGTATGCACGTATCTCTGTAAATAGTTACCAAAAAGTTGCAAGTAAATAATTTTGAGCTGTTGAGCGAATGTATATTTTAATTTTCTTTGAGCTGTGTTTTTTTTAACTGTCATTATTTACTTTTGAAATAAATTATTTTTTCGTAGGGTGTTTGCACTTCATTTGTGAATTGAGGTTAGCAAATCATTATCAACTTTTGTTGGACATTATGTCGGCTGAGGAAGACAAGAATGAAGGATCACTTATTGTGGCAGGACGTGATCTATCACGAATTCCTTGCTTCCGGAAGACATTTTTGACCAGCATTTCTAGTGGAATTGGTGCTGGACTGCTTTATTTTCTGTTTACTAGTAGGGTCCAAATGGCAACACACGTTGGTTTTGGCTCTTTTTTTACCATATCTTTGGGTTATTGGTTCTACTGTAGATACGAATGGTCGAAGAAAAAATTTGCAGTTGACCAGATACGGTTTGCATTGAACAATCAAATAATGTATGAGGGTACCGAAGTTGAAAAACGGGTGAGGGCCGAAATGGCTGGATCAAGGAGTGATTGATTCTAAAATATTGGTAGTATGAAAAAACAATCCTGTATAAAATGTTAGCACATGAGATTTACTAAATGTATATGTGTGTGAAATTGTATAAAAGTTGTACAAAGTTTAAAAGAGGTGAAATTTAGATATCAACGGTTTGAAAGCATTTTTGAGAAAGAAATGCTGACAGTTATATTGTATATAGAAGTTTCGATGGAGTATACTCTACTGCATTTGTTCTCTTTAACTGAATTTTCATAATAAATAGTTTCTAATTGCATTGCTTTCAGATGTAGAAAATAATCTTAAACTAGTCTCTAAAGGCAGTACCAAGATTTCTTACATTCTGTTGCCATAAGTAAAATTTTAGTTTGTGTCAGATGTAATCAATATTTGAATTGAATTACCCAGATAACTAACATTCTATTTGCTTGATAAGATAAAATAATAAATTTGTAATATATTGAGAAAATTCAGTCACAAACAACCTCTTTGAAAGGTGATTTGTCACTTTGGAAATAGTCACCCTTGCAATTTGTGTTCAGTATAAACAAACTTTCCTAATGTGAGAAATCTTTAACTTTCCCCTCTCTGCGTGTAAGCCATTATTGATGAATACTTTTGTAAGAGTATCTTCAAGATAACCATTTTATTCATGTTTGAAATGTAATGTGATGTTTTAACTGAAATAAAATATTTTAGAGATTGTTGTATATTATGTGCACATGTTTGTTATTTCATTCCTGTCTGAAGTTTGTGTTCTCTTTCTCTGATTTATATAAGTGATTTAAATGAAATGATATTGGAAGGAAAAGTGAAATGCAAATATTAATATCTAAGATTACTCTATTTCGTTCTACAAATATGGTTACAATGGACAAAAATTACATATTACTTAAAAGATAATATAAATATTTTTCATTATAATTTCACAATATTTTAAAATAAAATTATATACAGGGCAGTACTTGGTTTCTATTTTGTCTCCTGAGTAAATGATTTTTAGTGAATATCCTTGCAAGGAAAGCTGTTTACATCTAGTTCATACACTTAAAAGTACTTCCATACAATGTGTTGAATGAATACAATATTGCTGTAAAATTGTATACAAATATTTAATGATGAAATTGAATTCTTTATCACAATCAAATATTAGGTAATAAGAGATAATGGATAATATATGATTATACTCATTACTGGACAAGGCAAGACACGTATTACAGTACTTTCATTATGAACAGTGCTCTGCATATTATTATAATTTGTGCGTTGGGTTGCCACAAGCAACGTAGTCAGCATTCTCTTGGTGTAAAAAAAGAAGACAATTCAATTGCTGCAAGTTCAAATGAAAATGCAATGGGGTCAAACCCCCTATCATGTTCAAGGCTCCAACTCTAGTGCATTCCATTGCCTTCAAATGGCTTTTTAGGACACATGAAAAGAGATGAGTACACATACACATCATTTATTGCATATTGTCAGACTCATAAATTTCATTAATTTTAGCTTGTTTTGTTGAAGTGACATTTCACATAAGAATGGCTTCTCTTATAAAAATTAGAAATTGTGATTATCATGTCTTTGAGCATGAAGTGTTTAAAAAATTTTATTGTTATAACCACTTGAAGGCAAGAAAAGGCCATCGACATAAATTATGCAGATACTTGTAGCATCCTCTCTTTCCAAAAACATTGCAGACACTTGCCTACTGTAAAACACTCAGTAGCTACCATATAAAAAGCCTACACACACAAGCACTGCTACTCACAAGTTCAAAAAGTTTTATATAATTGTACCTTAATTGAGAACTTTATTAAAATGTTTAATTTTTTTTCAGGCTTCGTTTCCTCTAGGATGTATCCTTTGAGGCAAATCCAATTCTTAAATCACCTTAGTCTCAGAACCACAAGTTTCGTTCCCATGCTTAAAATGGATCTACTTTACTGTCTAGATCAACCGCCTTGAGCACTTTTATCACAGGAGGAAAGTTGCTGGGAACAGATGTTGAATGTTCCAAACCCTTTCACCTGTTCATTGAAACCAACAGGATATGTGGGTGATGGCTCGGAGCTATTAAGTCATTTTGTTTTGTGACTGTGGTTACAGTCATAATTTTTAATCTGATATTACCAATTTTTATAGAATTGGTATCTATTTTGACTTTAAATATGCAAGGAACTTTTTTTTATAAATTTGAGACAAAATAAAACAAATTTTATTTTCAAAGAAATAGTTGTTCTTTATGAATTATGCCAAAAATCAAATCTTGCACTATGCACAGGCATGTAAGGTTATAGCCACTTCAAACTGTAGCAAGCAGCAAACCACATTTGGTATTATGTATATCTCTCTTAAACACAGAAGGCAGCACTGAACAAAAGGTGGGTGCTCAATCTGTCAAAAAAAAAATCCCATTACAAGCTAAGAATTATCACAATGAATTTGGGTAAAATATCAATTAAGTCTACTTTATTACATACATTTTTTTCCTTTGAAAGGAATATTTCTGAAATATATCATAAATACAATATGTCTTTATGAGAAATACAATAAATGTAATATTTATATCTGCAACAAATAAATTTTAAGTTCACAATATTTATACATTTGATTACATACTTAAATAATACAATTTGCAATTTACCTAACAAACTTCAAAACATTTACAAACTTTCTACAAATATTTGCTTTGCAGCAATTTTTGCACTACAAAACTGTATCTAAATGGATCAGGCTGGTTGTCAAACACATTGTGATATGACAAATGTAATAATGGCCGATGGGAAAGTTGTGGGGTTTGTGCAGCATTGTACTACCTGCCCTTTGAGGCATCTAATTAATAAGATTTATTGAGGTATTTATTAAAAATGAGCTGAGTATTTCACTGGCACTCCAGAAAAGTGTGAACCTCAGTTCAAAAAGGAAGGGTAAGGTTCACATTATCAAATATATCGAACACAAAAACAAGGGCAAGTCAATACTAGCTTGATTATGTTAATGGTAACTATCAAAACCACTAATTATGCTATAGAACATTTATTCATCAATTATACTTCAACTATTGCACCGTATCAAATTGAAGA